AAGCAGGAGGTGAGAAGTGATATGTACAGATTTTTTTGTCGGGGTGTTTGAAGACCTCCAGAGACAGAGGAGGAGAAAAGTGGTCTCTCTCCTCTCTCCTCTCTCCCCTCCCTCCCCTTCGGGGTGACAGTCACATTGCTGCCCTGGTGGTTTTGGGGGTGTCTATTCCAGACCCCTAAGAACCAGCACAGCGCCCAGGAGCAGCGTTTTGGGGACGTCCCCTCCGTGGGGCCCTGGAGCTACGGACCGGGCGTTGGACTCAGTGGCTTTCTCCGAGTACGGGGGGATGACATTGAACTCTTCGTCATCATCTTCCTCTTCGTCCTCCACCTACAGGGGGGAGAGAGAAAGGGGGGGAGTGAGCCGGGGTGAAGGAGGGAGTGAGAGAGTGTGAGAGGGGAGGAGTGAGTCAGGGAGTGACAGAAAAATGACAGGGAGAGGGAGACCGAACGAAAGGGTTATAGAGGACAGAGACGAGAAGAAGGAAAGACAGATCAGGAGAGAGAGGGAGACAGATGGGCATGAATAAATAAATTCTAGCGCAGCCTGACTGACGTCCTGCCTCCTGCCAGCACCTGAGGCTAATCCTCTCAGGCTGACAGCACGCTGCCCAGCCCAGGGAGTCAGGCTGCACGAGCCTGCAGATCGCCAGACCTGCTGCGTTCCCTAGTGACTGAAGCTGAAGAGACCCTTTCCATCAGGAATGAGCTATTGGTTGAGTTTATCAACATAATTCATAGGGAAGTCGTTTGGCAGCATTAGCTCACTGGAGAGGTAAAACGTGCTACAGAAAGCAGACTTGTCCAACGCACGCCCAGACCTGAATTGAGTTCAGGTTGTAGACGTGATGTTGAACTGGTACTACAGTGGTACACAGGACTGCAGCAGGACACGCCCGTATGGGAGCAGCCCCGCCCATGTGGAAGAGATGCCCCGCCCATGTGGAAGGGATGTCCCCGCCCCCATGGCGGAGCCCCGCCCCCCATGGGGGAACAGCCCCACCCTCGTGTGGGAGCCCCGCCCCTGTGTCAGGAGCAGTCACTAACTAAGCAGTCAGTAACTCGTGTTGAGTGAGAGTTATCTATTTGCACTCTGTGAGGGAGAGATTGGTGTGGATCTTGGGGTGCAGTGTTAGTAAGTCCAGTGCCCACTGACCTTGGCTAGGTCTGGCAGGATGATGTCATTGTTCTGCTGGACTCGGAGGGAGATCCGGGTGGGAGGAGGGGTTGTGCTCTCCACAGGCCGGGGGGCGGAGCTGCCCAGAGAGGTGATTGCATTCCCTGAGGATCGACAGACATACAGAGCAGAGTTACAGGAAGCCAACACTATCACAGTCTTTGATCAATACACATGCACTCATACCAACAAATAGAGGGAGAGACAAACACACATATGTTTACCTTGAGGGAGACACACTGATGGATACAAGGAGAGAGAAAGAGAAGTCTATGTGCCATATGTACATTTACATACAATGGAATTCTTAGCTGCTCTCTCAGGACATGCACAGTACGGCATACGACACAATACAAGAGACAGCACCACACAATGTGGACATAATATCACAAAATAGTACATAATAAATAGTTATAACCAGGACAATAAATATTTTTTAGAGAACAATAAATAGGTGTTAGTGACATTGACAGAGAGAAACAGACAGAGAGGCAGACATACAGACTGAGACACATACACAGAAACAGAGCGAGAGACACATACACAGTCACACAGGCAAACACCAAAAGGGAGAGAGACCCACACACAGGCAGATACAGACAGAGAGACCCACACACAGGCAGATACAGACAGAGAGACCCACACACAGGCAGATACTGCCAGAGAGAGAGACTCACACACAGGCAGATACAGACAGAGAGA